AGAGGGGAGCCATGATGGCATCATTAGTTATTTAATTCAAATTCAAATTTACAGGAAAGTTTGAACAGTTTATATCTGCTTAACTATTGTGAACATGGACTAATGGTGTTTTAGTTGCTGTGCAATATTGCGAGGGTTCACTATTTAAATTTAAATAACTCGATGATGGTTGCACCATTAAGAAGTAAGGCCAGGTTGGACTGAAATATAAATTTCATAAACTCCTTATCAAAGTGATATTTTTTATAAAATTAGAGCCCTTAAAACAATTTCTGACAACATTATATTAACAATTAAAAGGTCGAGCGACATGCTTTCTGTTACTTCCCAAGACTTCTCAATAAATTTCAAGTTACATAACGCACATGCTATATTAAGTGTTAATGATCACCTTTTAATGCACCTTCATATATGTGCATCTTTTCGTGTTCTTGAACATAAACCTAGCATAGACCAAATTTATCTCGGATAGTAGTACGATAAGCACTTACAGATTGTTACTTCTTTTTGCAATAGTAAGAATTGAAGTTGGTTAACTAGTAAACCATACTATAAGTTAAAAACTAAAACTATACTCTTTTAGTCATCTTTTTCTAATCCTGGATAGGTTTGTTTCATCAGCTTCTTGTGGTAGGATGCTTCAGTACTTATTGATATTTTTAAACTGTCAAACTTCTGACATACTTCATCAGTAATTGCAGAAATTGCATAGTCTTTTGAATCGACTTATTTATTAAAACTACACTGTTGTTCTGATTAGATTTAATCTTATAATTAATCAATATTGCTAATATCGTCCATCTCCTGTTCAACTGTCAGTACTGACTATGCTATTATCTCTAATTCATTTAGTGGTTATTTTAGTTACTGATGCTGTTATAATTCAAACTTCTCCACTACTTCATTTATTATAGAACTAAATGAGCCCCAATAATTGTGGTGATGCCTACTTTGTTACCAATCATCTTCGAGTTGGTTATAAACTCTAATTCCTAGAATAATATAATGGCCTAACATTTAACAACGGTTGAGTCATTTTGATTTGGTATGTATTATACAAAATGAATTGGTACATTTTTGATTCCAAATGGTCTTTGTACGTCTTAGTACGTCAAAAATTCTTTATATGAAACATAAAGAGCAGAAATTGTAATGGTTCCATACAATTTCCTTATATACAATATAATCTAAGAAGAATTCAGATGGCAGGATCAATGTCAAAAAATGTTAGGTAATATGATCTTGAAATAAATGGCAGATATTTTCGAATAAATGCCTAACCGACTCCAAATGAATCGGCTCTCGTAGCATAGAATGTCACTAGACTTCAATATTAGTAACATGAATTATTTATGAAACATCCTCATGTTTAAGAATAAGAGTGTACTTGCTCAATTATTTGATCAGGTAATATATGCCATTACCATGCTTTTCAATTATCAAAATACTATTCTGATAGTACTGTATTAGTTTGAAAATTTAGAAGTATCACTAAAAGAGAAACAAGAATTGGTGTCAGAATATGATGGGTAATAATATAAACATAAATATATTGCTTGCAATATACCTATATACAAGTCAAAAATATGATTCTCACAAGAAGATTTCTAATGGGCATGATTTTCATTTTCTCTAAGATCAGATGAGAGGTTTCAACCAGTTATTCCTGTGTCTATCTCTAGGTGCTCATTTGTGCCAGATGTCGCTTAAGTATTTCTGGGCTTGCCATTTAAGTTTGCTAATGCATTACAATATGAATAATACTGAGTACTCGATTAAGGGTAATGAAGAAGTTAT